GGATCTAATGATCCAGGATTATGTTTGGGTATCCTTCTCAGGTAGGTAGTGCCAGGCAGTGGTACAGGTACTTTCTCATCTTTGAGAAAGTCACAGCTACAATGGAAACCCAATTTGATGGCTGTCTTTGGCAAGTCCCCCACTAAAAGCAGAGCAGCTGCTGCAGCGGGAGATTCACGGCTTGCATGGATTTGTTACTGCATCTGGTTTACACAGCTCCATTCAGCAAGGCATGGAGATGTGCTTCATCTATCATTTACTTCAATGTAGATGATACACTTGTCTAGCATTCGGGACATTTTTTTCATCAGCACATGTATAATCTTCAGCAACGGTAAGTGAAGTGCGGTCAGACCCTGTGTGTGGTCCAATAACCATGGACCAATAACCATAACCAATATTTACATTAACCCTAGAATTATCACCCAGGTAAGAATATTGCCTTTATTGCCATAATCCTATTGCTACTTGCCATTCTTAACACAGAGACTATTCGCTCTTGTGGTGTTATTCTACATGTAAATTGAGTTCAGTTCTGAACTGTCCACTCCCTGTAAAATGTGTGGCAATATGCTGAAGGAATGCTGCGTCCATCTCTGTGTGCAGCTTTTTAACGCTAGAAGTGGCAGTGGAATGAGCAGCTCTCGGTGCCATGAGCATCGTTTTACACTAGGCGTCTCCCTTGGCACATTTATTCAGCCGAGAGCTCCTCCTGCCATGCCCGCTGCACGGAGTCGGGCGGGGCTGGGGACACACACACACATTCGGGGCTGTAAACCTGCTGCAGTGCCATACACATAGTGGAGACAAATATTACTCAAAAGACCTAGTCAGCACCTACACTTTAGTCTGAGTTAATTGATGCTTAAAGCCCCTTCACATGACCAAGTTTTTTGTTTTCCTTTAGGGGTATTAAGACCAAACAGTGAATACTTGGATTTCTTTCTGTCAACCCTACATACATGATAACGACAACATGCACAAAACTGAGGCTTGAAAGGTGGTACTGGTGTAAGTTTTGCACTTTAAGCATGCTGTTAGGAATGAAATTAATAGTTTGTTATGTGTTTGATCCCTGGGAGTTTAAGAAAGGCTCTTGCTTTCTCATTGCTTACTGGTGGAAATTTACTTCGAAATAGAATTGAAAACAAATGAAACATTGTTTCCTGGATGTCTTTTTATAATACACTTTCACATTGGATGGCTGAAGGCACTGACTCAGTGTTAGGATGCTTCCAGGAGCTGGTTCCACATTTTCACCTGTGAAATTCCAAAGAGACATGAGTTTACGTACCAGATGTGATGGATTTTCTTCACCTGTAAACCTTACTTGTTCAATGTGTGCTCTGAACCTACTGCATGTGAATTCACGGTGTAATGCCTCAAGCAAGTCTGGATGCCCATTGGTCCCAGACCAGGAACTGTTTTTTAAGCCAGAGGAGGGTGTGTGGTTGTTCCACAGTCACTGCCACACCATAGAATGCTCTGTCAGCAGGGAACTAAATGAAAGTGAAAACTGTCACCTGATGAAAAAGGGGTGACTCAGGAAAGAGGTGACGTTCTTGGCATATCTTATTTTTTTTTCAAGGTTTATCTACCATTTTTCTACCCTCTCAATGTATTTTTCCCCCATGCATCCTTGAGGCCTAATGCAGTTAAGGTAAGACAGCAGACTATGGTGGCCATGAGAGGGTAGCTAATGGATATGGAGTGTAAGTGAAGAGCAGAGCACTCCAGAAGGTAGACACAGCAAAGCCTAAATGCCATACTTGGCTGAAGAGATTGTATGTAATCAAAAAGTGCCACTGCTCAGCCAACAGAAAAGTCACATGGAAAGGATAGGGGAATACTGCAGTGGGAGAGTTGGAATAGCTTTGTGGTGACCTTTGGGCTCTTGTCAAAGGGAATTGGTGAAGCCAAAAGATTGAGTGATAGGAGAGAGATCAGTGCATAAGTACCTCTGAGTTGCTCTCTGAGAAGGGGCCACTCTTGCCCATCAAACTGTTCATGGCTACCTTAACTTAGTGAGAATTCTTCCCATGCTGTTTCAGCTAAGCATTTTGTCTTGTTCTTTCCAAAAACTGCTGTAAGAGACAAGGTTTATCCTCCCAACATAAAAAAGTAACTTGTTCAGATAAAAATAATATTCTATATTTCTGGAGAAGTCTTCATGCATATGGGAAAAATTTTAAGTATCTTCTGTCCCCTGTAGTGCCACACTGGCTCCTCTGTACTTCAGAGGTTGTACTTTGTCTTTTATGTTTCTTCAATTTCAACAGAAATGTTATGGAAGCATCTCCTGAGACCCAGTTTTTAATTGGGCCAGTTTACAAACTAATCTCAGGCTTCCAACTGGTCATAAGTGAAACTTATGTTGGTTTGTTTTGGGTCAAAATTAAAAGGTTGGGCAAGATTTACAACTTCAGGCTTAATACAGTTTTCCTTGAAATTAATTTGTGTGTCTACATGTCTAACATACTCATTTTGAGGAAACATAATTAAGAGTTTTCTCAACTTGAGAATTGCTGGTGGGGAGAAACTTTAATAGGACTAATGAAAAAAGTCTCTGTAGGACTGGGATATGTTTGGGTATCACCTTTTTGCAGCACAATCCAGCTTCACATGTCTCAGAGAGAGGAAGAGAAGAGGTACTCCTTCACTCTATCAGCTCTTTATGATTTTGACAAAAGGAACTGCAATTGCTGAATCATATGCATCTCTTGTGGTTCATGAGTTGATAAGAATATGTGAAAATAAGAAAGTAAATTGAAAGCTAATCAGAGATTAAACTCCCATGTGACTTTTTTCCCTCTTGGATCTTGGCTGTTCCGTTTAGACATATGCTTTTGTAATCTTTTTACTTAATCCTACATAGCTGCAAATTTTAGATTTCAGAATTGGACAAGTTTTGTTATGGCTTTTGTTATCCCAAGTCCCTATGGTGGAAGTTGAATGGCTGTTTAATGGCTGTCATTTTTGTGCATCTCTGTTTGTAACCAGAAATCAAAAGCAATAGTTCATCTTTTTGGTTGCAGGTATTGTAAAATGCACACACACTAGCCCAGTGTTGAGAGTGGCAGTACAGACTTCTGCTATTAGCATTCAGAGGCTGAAGCTTGTTGCAATCTGTTCCTGTATGCACCACAACCAAAGCATTTTGCTAACAATTCCTGTGCTGAGCCCTTAGATTTCTTAGAATGGTTCAGAACAGACATCTGTAGTGACAGGAACCTCCTTACAAACCAGAATATGTGCAAGGCCTCTTGGTCATCTGAGCTATCCATGTAGAGGTTTAAGATTAGGGAATTCAAACACTGGGGACTTTCATTTATTATTTCAAAGCTGTGTATGAGTGTAGCAGCAACACCCCCTCAAAAGCCACTATTTATTCCAAGCTAGTAGTTTAAGGTGTTTAGTAGTGGCTCTGCTTATTATCTTTTTAACAGAATGCCTGACTCTATTTTAAGATACATGACAGACAGGTGGAATGAATCACATTTAATGGATACCTCTAACTCTTGACTTTGGAAACAGTCAGTGTAAGTTCCACAACTTGATTTTGGACAGCTGAAGGTAGAGACATTGAATTAATCAAACATGTATCTAAATCTTTCTGTTCATTCAGACTGCATTCACTTCATGGAGAAGCAGGGTTAACATGCACATCCCTAATCCATCCTGACCATTTCATGGCTAAGCACAATGAGCTGCATGTCTCATCAGACGTGTATTGCAGCAGGCAGCACATTCTTGCAAACTGGCCCTGAATACTCTCAGGTTTAGAAATCTGTTTTGTTTAATTGAATGCTGGGTATGGAAACAGTCTCACTAATACTTATGGAGGGATAGCACTGCTTCTAGCTAATAATCCACTGCTTACACATAGAATGATCCTTAGTACTTCCAGACACTTTTCTGCATAATTCTGAAATTCAAGGTGGCAAGCTTTTTGCTTCATCAAGGACTATGGAATTCTTCAATACCTTATAAAGTGCTAGTCAGATCAAATGTCACAAACAGTAAACTATGGGTAGCACAGCAGAGCCATCAGCTTCATTAAGTAAATGCCACCAATCCTGAATCTCTTTATTATTATATCCTACATCTGGATCTTTCGTGTAAGTGAACGTGATGCAAGTGTGTCAACACTCCATTGGTTATGTAATAATAAAGAGACAAAAAAGGCATCTTGGATCTCCTAAATCAGTTTGTTGCCAGAGCAGAGAAACATGAGGAAGCCCAAAAGGAAAATATACGCAATTAAACTCACTAAGTTGACTGAAAGAATATTAATTTAGTGTAGTGTAACAGCAAAAGCCAGGAGACCAATCAGTTAAAATACAATGCACAAATACCTGGAGATCTGCATGTGGAAAGGGTTGTCTTCCCTGTACTTCTGGATACTAATTCAGCTGTGTGCATGTGGATGTACCTTGCTGAATCAGGACTAAATACATTTAAATTATAAATAAAAATACCTGCTACAAGCAAAACCATACCATATGCTCAGGGACAGTGGGTATTCTGTGATGAAGTAGCTGTTTTATTCATCAGTAAGGGGCATGAAAAGCAACAGAAAGTTATTTCTTCCTGTTTCCACTTCAAAGTCATTGACAGTTCTTACTGTTAAATGCTGGCAAAGACTAGAATGTTAATTTTAATATGTATAAATAATTTATTGAATAATAATATATGAAAATGAATTTTATATGCTTCTCTATATGAATGACAGTCTATTATTGAAATTTATTAATCAGCACATTCCACTCAAATTTTTTGAGGACGAGGAGGGAAGGAGGTGGAGAGGCGTTTTGGAAAAATGCAGAGGCGGTTTGGAAAAATGCAGTACAGTGGGCTGACTAAATCTGAATACTCGGTCTCTGAAAATGCAGCTATCAGTGTAATTCAAATCATACTGATGAGATACAGAACAGTTATATGCAGTCATAATAACAACTTATATACTGTCAATATTAATAGCAATGCCTGTTTGAGAACAGTTTTAAAATAGGTACATACAATTTTATTAAGTATAAAAAGACACCGTGCAGAGCACAATACAATATATTCCATCTTCACTTCTGGTAGTTCTCAAACTCCACTGTCTTAATTGATATTGTCACCAATGACCTCTGAATATAATTACCTCTCTGTATAAAATGAGGCTTCTCTAGATGAATTCATGCTGTTTGATTTTAAAAATACAGTAATTTCCTTTCAATGGCTACTTACACTGATCAAACACTGTCAGGACTGTTGGCTAGCCTGCATTTGGTTTCTAACATATGCTATGATACTGTCAATTTCCTGTTTTGCTTTGTCTCTCTCTGTTTGTGAATAGATACTCCAATATACTAATTGTTTCTGACTTTGTTCCAAGTTCACAACCAGAACTTGTTTCTGACCATTTCTACATTCCATTCCTCACGTTACTGAACTTTCACTGACACCAGCAGGAATTTTCAACATGCAATGCAATGCAATGGTTTTCCCCTAATCTCCTTTTCTCCCCCAAGTCTTTTTTAATGGAGCATAGAAGGCATGTAAAAATGATTCTTTTTTTTAGGATTTGGGGGTCCATTTTCTCATTTTCTTGAAAGCAGATGACATTTATAGCCTTCCAGCTTTGACTATCTTCTTTGGAAAAGCAGACATGTAAACTTAAGAACTTACAGATTTTGCTTACACATTCCAACTTGGCTTAATTAAAAAAAAAAAAGTCAGAACCCTAAGTTCAAATTGATTTAAATGATAATGTGTGAGTCTTAAAAGAATCAACTTACACTTTCTCCTCTCTGTAAATATATTAACATTAGACTGGAAAATAAATTAAACAATACAGAAGTGCAGAGATTATGCTATCACAGTAATATCTGCCAAACAAAGCTCGGTCTTTTGCTAACATTAGCTTACTACATTTGCAATACATGCTAAGCAAAGACCCTACTTCTCTAACAGGTACATTCAGACAATATATATTTTATGGAATAAATATATAATATATCCAGTTATAGATTTCTGAATATAACTATAATAGATACAAGCAATACCTACGTTTAAAAATACAGTTCTAGGCTTCCCTAACTTTACTACTAATAAAATTAAAGTTGACCTAAAACTTTCTCACTCTGTTGATGCATAATAAAATATATGGAAACACCAAGAGTAAAAAGCCAATTGCTTCTACAAATGGAATACTTTATAAATATAGTAAATTGCTATTTCCAGAGGGAAATCTGAAAATTATAAACAGGAAGTTAGGTTAAAACAGCTCTACAATATATATAGTACAAAGTGGCTATGAAGCATGATGTACGAGTTTGATGTCTGTGGCAAAATTTTGAACTGATGTTTTTCATTTTTGGAGATAACTGTAGAGAAAGATGCTGCTTTCAAAAGCAGCCAATCTTAACCTCCTTAAACAAAACTTTCAGTGACTAGAGAAAGCCAACTAGAAATTTGTTCAGAGTAAGGAGTGCAAGATGACATCAAACAGAATTATTTGGAAGCCCTGGACTTCACTGTTTCATAGGGTTTACCAATCATGCTGTTCTCATTTGGAACAGAGTCACAGAAGTGAAAGGTATCTGTGACTGCTGTGTGCTGAAAGGCCTTATCATGATGGTACCCTCCCTATGGCTCACTTTAGCCTGGTACTGTACATTCTCCAGATGAATTATGTTTCATGTTCCTGTTGTTGTTTGCTTTTGCTGGAATACTAGAGTACAGCTCTGGTTGCTTGATTACTGAACTCTTGATTGAGGCTTCTTCTTTCTTGAGAACAACCTAGAATTAAAGAAACATATTCCTCAGAGCAAGCACAAAGAATTGAGGAATTCTGGCTATTTCTTCCTGCCTTTATTCCCTTTCAATTTAAAATCAGCAAAAATTCCTTACTTGCTAATGAAATTATTTAGGCAACTGAAAAAAATTAAAAACTTCATGTGTATGTCTGTCTCCTGCAATGGACTTGGTTTACATACAAACCACAAACTTACTTCATGAAATACTGTTCACACTGTTTATACCTACCTCTTGTCTGAGTTGAGGCCCTGAGATGGGATTGAAAACCTTCTCAGGGCCCTTCTTTGCCTCAACAAATCTGGAATTCTGGTGGTCACAGGACAGGGTGTTTACAAGATGGGTGTTTTCCCCTGAATACCAACAGAGGTCAGTGTCAACACTAATAAGGATGAAACCATCACTGGGAGCCTCAGATTTTGACCATCTGGGGACTTTCTGAGTCACTTGTTGACTCTTCCAGTACACACATACTTTTTTGGGAACAAACAGCGATGAGACGAGGGTTGGGACACGCTTCCTACTTGATTTTATTTACACAAATGGAGCATATCTGTAAATGTATTCATAGCACAAACTCTCACTGAGTTCAGAAAAACTACATATATAGAGAATCTCTCTCATGCTACTGGGAGACTTGTAAGCATCTTGGAAGTTACTGTAATATTGAATACTTCCTACCAAACTGTCTCCAAAAGCAAGCACTTAGAGGTGCCCTGCAGAGCAACCAGAATGAAGTCTGGATTCCCTGTTGCAAGGAAGAGACTTGGAAGACTCTTCTTCACCTATCACCAGCAAATCTTTATGTTTCATTGCAGAGTGGTAACAGATTAGTTGCAAATGCTTTAAACTATCTAAATCTGGTGGCATATTCTTATTTTTCATAAATGCTCTGTTATTAAAATAAAAAAAGATCATTCCCAGGACTTCTTTCACTTGGAGATAACTAGAAGCGTGCACAGTGGCTTTTGATGCCAGGGTTGTTAGTTGGAAACTGGCTCCAGAACTTGCTAGTGCCTTTAACCTGTTTTCAAAATGCACCTTTACTGGGAAAAACCATGGGGAAATGTACCAAAGAACGAGCTCTGCTCATCTTGACTGCAGTAAGTGCTGGTTGGGGCCCCAAAGGCACCTCCAGGGCCCTGACTGTCCCCCTTGGGGCTCCCTCCATCCTGTCCACAGCCCAGGACCTCATGCCAGCCCCTATGGCCATCATCTCCTGTCCCAGCAATGCCCCAGCAGGGCCAGTCTCCAGCTCCCCATAGCCCTGCCCTGCCCAGCCATCGGGTCCCACTAAACTGGGCCCACTGTGGGCTCATGTGCCAGCCTGTCACTATCTCCAGGCAGGTGCCCAGGCCTGGGGCCACCCTGCTCCTGTCCGGGGCTGGCATGGGCTCTGGTACCAGGCACTGCCCTGACAGAGCCCTGGAAGTGGCTGGCCCAGGTGGGTTTGCTGCCAGAGGACTTTAGGGAAGAACAATGAATCCTCTCACCTACGACATATGATTTTGCTGTGTAGTTTGCTGCTGTTGCTGCTGCTGAATGAGCAGCTGCTGCTGTTGCCGGCGCCGGGCTGTTCTCAGTTTTTCGAAGCGAGCCTCCATCTCCTCCAGCACCTTGGGAGTGTAGCGCACCACCAGCTTCACACTGTCCTTGGCCGCCTTCAGCAGCTCCACTGCCTTCTCGTGGTGCTCTCCTTCCACACTCTGGGAGCAGGGAAAACAGATATAATAGTGAAAATGGTGCTTTGATCTAGAGTTGTGCCCTTTTCATATGGAAAGCTTGTCAGAGCTTTACATAGTTTCCACACCTTGCATTTTTTAAGGGACCACTAAAAAGAAAGCATTAAGTAAGACTGATGCACTGTTGGGCATGTATTAATTTTCAAGCCCTGATTTCTATGCTAATGTTGCTTGGAGCAGTAAATTTCCAAAACAGGGAGGTTACTCTGCTGTTAAATAGAGCATTCAATTTCTACCATAAAGTGGACTGACTGGAGTCATGTGCCTTTTAGGTATGTGCACTGTTACACACCTTAAGAAAAAGGGAAAAACTTTCTAATGGTGCATGATTGTCCACGTGTTGTAGGATGTATTCCAAAAAACAAAAGTATCTCTGCTCAGAAAAAAACCCAACAGCCTGAACATCTGCAATCTTCACATGGGTTTTAAATCATCTAAAAACAAGACCTTTTCTTCCCACTTAAATCCAAATTTTACTACCTGCTGTGTTTTAAAACTCTTATGTAAATACCATACTTTTGGAAATACAAGTCTCACTTTAAGAGAAAGTACAAAATTTGGCATTGTTTTATATTTCCTTTCTTGCTTGTAAGTCATGGTCACTATGGCATGGCATGGACATTCAGAGGAAATGGGAGGATATTCAGTGGTGTCATTTTGGTTTTGCTGTGCAACAACATCATGAACTTAGAACAGACTATGAAAAAACATAGTTTATGTTGAGTCCTACAAAATTACATTAAATAGAAACATTTGTTTGCTTTCAAAGTGCTGGATGGTTCTTACTGACACCAATAAGAAATTGTGATTGTTTTATAGGAGAATAACAAGATGTTGTGTTTTAATACTTCATTCAACAACCTAGCAAACTGCATTTAATTAATGATTGTCTGTTTTCTCTCCTGTTTGTCCTCAGCCTTGTTCTTCCCGTTTAGACAGTATTTTCTAATCAGAAATGAAGGGTTCGACTTTGTTGCTATCCAGGTCAATGGAAAACTCCCATTGATCTGAATAGTAATATAGAATTAAGCCTAATGCTTTGAGCCATAAGCAAAGAGGGGAAAAAAACAAAGGCAAACATAGCGCTGCTAAATACAAATCCTGCTCTCTGAACACACCTCACTCAGATCTTGTCAACCACAGTTTTCAACTGTTATTAGTATGATATACTTGCTCTTAATGCCTTTATTGCTGCTTGTACTAATTTTCAGGGTATTACAAAAACTTTACCTGCTTAACAACAGCTGCACAAGTGAAATAGCAGAGGCCCTTGGAGGTGGGGAAAAGGAAAGAGCAAAGAGAGTTGTTTTGCTGTTGGAATTCTTCTGTCTCTGCAAACCTCTAAGGCTGTGCTGGCAAAGGACTCCTGCTGGTATCAGTCATTCCTATACAAGGTACTTTGCTGACTGGATTATGCTGGTGAGGACATTGCAAGGATCTGACACTCGTTACTTTAGAACTGCCCACCGAATGGGTAAAATTGTTTTGGAAGGTATATATTTACTTAACATATAATTTTTTATTACATATACTTGTAGACACTTACTCCTTTTTTGCCATTATTGCATTGGCAGATTGCATCAAAGAGAAGGATGCAAAACACTATAGAGACAAGAACAGCTGAAAGAACTGCAGATGTTGTGTGAGCAAGTACCAACCATTACTCTGTCCTGGTTCACAGACTTGCCATAAATCTAAAAGAAAAAAATTCACTTTGCTGAAGACAAAAAAGAAAATCTGTTAGCCCATAAGTTGGGAGACTGAGAAGAGTATTTCTATTAGGTATCCCTAAACAAATACTTGGTCGACAAATTAGTCATTATAAATCTATTTTGCATCCTTTCTGTATCTGACTCACACAAGGCATCTGACAAATGCAGAATCTTTGCCAGATATCAACCAGCAAGTGTTTTTGTCCAGCCAATCTGCAGGGCTCACTACTTTCAATTTTCTGTATTTTTAGGGGGCGTGGGACAAAAGTATGTAACAAAATCCCCAGCATAATGAGAAGACACTGTTTTGTAACCTGCAGTGAAACAGCTCAAGGAACACTCTTCCCAGTCATGCTGGGATAACAAATCTGGATTCTGAACACATAGCTCTAATTTTATGTTGCTAATTATTAAGTTGGGTAACCATCAGTGATTGAGCACAAACAAGTTACAGATATTTAATTTCATGTCCCACCACTGAGCCGTCTGTTCTATTGTACATACTGTATATTATTTGCTTTTCTCCAGCTAAATTAAGAGACTCACAGAGTGAAATAGTCCCAGTGAACAATGCTAAATTTAGATTTTTTTTGTCCCATCTCAAGCTGCCTGCCAACAAATCATTACTTCTATAATTTTTGCATTTTTACAAATTATATTGTGTGGGATTATTCAGGCGAAGACTGGTTTATGAACAGTTCCTCATTACTGTGAGGGTGGTGAGGCCCTGGAACAGGTTGCCAGAGAATTTGTAGATGTCCCAACCCTGGAAGTTCAAAGTCAGGTTGGATGGGGTTCTGAGCAACCTGCTCTAGTGGAAAGTGCTCCTACCCATGGTAGGGGGGGTTGGAACAAGATCATCTTTAAGGTCCCTTTCAACCCAAACCGTGCTATGATTATTTCAAGTATGCAACTTGAATTCAAACTTTGAATTCTGTTGTTTGGACTCTGAATACAAAAATATTTCTCTTGCACCTCTAAATCAACTTTCTCATGTGTCCACATGCAATTGGGAATTTCGTACTGTGATTTTTGCTGCATTATCTAAATATATATTCTAGAGGACATGCATCAAATTTTTGATTGGAGAATCATAAAATAGAGGTGACATGAGGTTCAAATTCAATATATCTTGACATCTGAATGCTCACCACTTTCCTCTCTGGTCTTTGCCTAGACACTGTTCACAGTAAAAGGATTTTTCAAGAATCATCCATCAATTAGTAAATTGAAACTACTTTCATCTGCCTTTTAAATCACTTGTTGAAAGAAACAACAACAAAATTCTTTGATCAACTTTAAATCAGTGAAATTCAGGCCACCAACTTCCTTAAATATTCCATTTATTTCTTTTCTTTAAGACTAAATACTCTTTTCAGTGGGTTATTCTTTACTTTCTCATTGCTATTTGGTACAATCAAGCTTTCAGAACTAGTATTTCTCTTTCGAGACCGTGATAGTTGATAGAAGCAGTGGTAAAAAGTCTGTCTGAAGCGTTACACAAATATTTTTTTTTACAAGTGAAAGGCAATAGCTAGTGTTGAGAGAAAAAGATGAAAACATAGAAACATTTTTATTGTTTATGGACTTGCAACAAAGAAGTTTAAGTTTTTAAGTCTTAGATTTCTGACTGGATTCAGAAACTGCTACTCTGAGCCTTTGATGCATTTAAATACAAGGTCAGATGGAGGTTTGCATGGAAAAAGACTACATGTTCATAAAGGGAAGGGTAAGGTTATATAAATGAGTATCACTATCTTTTCAGTACTTTACATTTCTTTGTAAAAGAGAACACAAAGCAAAATGAAAGGCAGAATTTGACTGTATCATGGACTGTAGCATTGTGTGTTCTCTATTCCAACAGCCCTTTTTTTTTTAATCTCCATATTGACATTCACAGTGAAATTACTACAAAATACTCCACCTTGATTTACACGAAAAATGACCATGTAAAAAATGTAACTTTTTACCAAGCATACATGCTCCCTGTATGGGAACATTTGTACAGCTGATTTCTCTGATAAAGGTATCACAGCTGGATTAACATCACTGAAAGAAATCTAGAAGGTACCCTCCACTGCAAATCAGCATCAAATGTGCTTACCAAATTTCTTTCAATTTTATGTGTTCAAAGGCTTTGAAGGTCACAAGACTACACAAGTGCCACTGTGTCATCACTGTAGTTGGAAAGGGCTGTGTGCCTCGAAGGCTACGGAATGAAAGAATGACAGTCTTTTATTAAGCTTTTACTGCAAGAGGAATTTACAGAATTATCAATTAAGGACATAGGTTCCTTGTAAATTAGGCAAGTGGTGTGGATTTGAAATGAAGCTCTTCAAGCATGCTCCATTACAACAGAAATCATAATGGCACAAAATCGTTGGTGGAGCTCTGCCTCACGGCACCACAAATGCACACTGAAAGGTCTCTCACAAAACTAATTCTTTGTGTTTCGTGTGGCTGCATTTTAAATCACGATGTTAGAACAGCTGTGAAAAATTAAAATCCAGATGAAAATGAAAGCTCTATCAAATTTCCACATACCACTCCATTAACTGAAAGCAGCTGGTCCCCACGTTTGAGCCCACCATGCCTTTCTGCCACTCCTCCAGGAATGATGCGAGAAATATAAATAGGGGAATTTTGTTCCTTTCCTCCCATGACATTAAAGCCCAGGCCTTCCTCAGTCTTTGGCAGCTCTACCACTCGTGGGTGTGAATGGCCTTCACTTGCAGCAAATGCAGCAACTGTTGCCTGGAAGAAAAAAATTATTGATTTGGCTATTTAGGGGGAACAGTGATAGATACTTTGATGTTCATTTGCAGGAAGAACTCCTTCCTGTTGAAACATTTCAGTACCTTACTCTGAAATTTTCTGATTATCTGAAAATATGTTAAAATAATCAAGTTCTATGCCAATGTTTTTGAAATAAAGGAATAAACAGAGGAACAAGAGTTTAGGTGACTTGTCAAAGATAATACAGAAAGTTACCAGCAGAGCCAGAAGGAGGCACCAGGAAGCTTTACTCTGTGGTGGTGCACCTTTATGATCATTAGTGCATTTCTTCTTTGCCTTTTCATAGGGAGAAAATTTATTCCTGTGGGATAAGATAATGGGATCTCTAATGTGTTCCTAGTTGAAAGAAAGTGGATGAAATGAATTGGTAACTCTCTGCTTTGCTTTCAGAGTTATGGAATTATTTATTTTAAATCCTCAAATTATATACCTAAGTTAAAAGTTTAATTTATAGTCTGAAAAATCTTGCAAACTAAGTAACTTCTGGAACAGGAATAGGAGGTTTTATTATATAATTCCATCAAAAATTTTACTGAAAAATTAAATCTTAAGACAACAACAGATACATAAATCAATTAGAAAAATCTAGATTGTTTAACTTATTCCATGGGAGAAAAAAAGAAGTAACATACTATAAAGCTTGCATCCAGGAAAACGTTACATTTATACTTGATTTTTCACTACAAGCATTTTCTTACTTATTGGTCTTAATAAATCATTAATTAAACATTAAGAAAATATTTTATCATTTTAAAAATGTGTTTGTAGTTCAAACTGCTTGAACAATTTTGCATTACACTAATATTTTTGAGCATCCTATAATGCTTATGGTTAATAGAAGCTAGTGGATGATGTGACATAATGGATCATTCTCAATTACATGTTTTTGCACATGCAGAACTTGTCATCATGCATACATATTATGTCAGACATGAATGCACTAGGAGAATGAAATGCAGACAGCCCAGAAATAACCAGGAAATATTGCGATATTGAAACATTGCTCTATAACCTGCTGTTCTATATGAGTAAGAAATGAGAATGGGAAACACTAATTGGACTTCTCCCCATCTTTACAATATTTTCTATGTTTATTTGCAATGTAAACAAATCAGGATTTCATATACACATTTCTCTATATAGAACCAAAGATCTTACAAATTTACATTGACCACTAGCTTTCAATTAGAAGGTTAAAATCAGAAAAATGGCCTACAGAAGAGAAAGTCCTAATTAATATGGAAAATATGCTGCAATTTAGAGTATATTAGGTTATTTGCTGCTATTATAGAGTTTGCTTCCCTACAATACTCTTAAATCATTTTGTAACACACTCCCAACCTTCCTATTCTGATACAGCTTTAAATCAAAATCTCCAAACATAAATACTTAATGATAAGAGATCTTAAGTTCCATTAGGACTTCAGGGAGTTTATGTTCACAGGAATGGGACCATAAAGAAGTATATCTAAAAAAGATTTATGGGTTTTGCAAGTTATTTACATAGAATCAGCTATACCACATAAAAGACAGTGTTTTGTGCAAAATGATAATGGGAAAAAGAAAGCCATGGTGGATCCCCTTGTTTGGAAGGATCTATTTTTGTGCATGTTATGAAAATACAATTGAGCATATTTCATACTGGCACATAGAATGGGTTCTTTCATGGTTGTGTGAATTCCCTTATCATTTCAGCAGCAGCAGTAACATAGCTGTCATTGTCTTAGGATATAAGACAGGCAGGTCCACATGGACAAAGAGACAATATATTTTATTAAAACAGGCAATGTATCAGAAAAAACCCCAGGCTTACATTTAGCTGTGGAGCCAATAAAATGTTGATCCAATGCTGAGGCCATTTCTGTCACTGTTCATCCTTACCACTTGCTCACTACCTACAGTTCCCATTATCTAAAAGGGGAATTTTGATTGTTTAGTTTCTACCTCCCAAATAATTGTGTCCTCTCTGGATGAGAAATATGGGAAAACAGTCCATTAAAATATTGGTTGTTGCAGGCAGACTGCTACAGAAGAACCAGTAGATTTGCTTTTGCAAAGCAACTTTTCAAAAAGCATCATAGTCCATAAAATCATTCTCTTTTCTTAAGCTACAGAAGCAGCATAAAGGTTGAAATTTTCCATTATGATTGTTACCTGGGAAGTAGCACTGGTTCTAGACTCTGGGCTGCCACTGATGTCTAAATTTTCTTACAGTGTACACACGAATACCTGAAACACACACGCGCACAGTCAATTACTAGATCACTTTGGTAACACATATTTCAACAGCTGCACGTATCCTACCTTTGCAGTGGCCCTGGCTCGGAATTCGGGGCAGCCATTAACAGTTATGGTTTCATGCATGTATTGATACACCTAAAATGTTCACGGAAATAAAATGAAATTAATTGTAGGAACAAAACAAGGACTTTATACTAACCCAGACAGGAGAGTCCCTTTCCCTTAAAGAACTAACTTTCATTGATACTGTATTAATGCAATCACATAGTCAAGTGTCTGCAAAACTTGAGCATGCTAAGGTTAACAGAGAGTATCAGTCTGTGTTTCTCATGATACTCTCCAAACTTAACTTTACATCTTCCAACACAACTCCCTTCCATTCTTCAGCAAGTAGTTTCCTAAAACCAGAACAGTTAAGTTCTGTTATCAAAAATTTGTGTTTCCAGGCAACTGACTTGAATGCAAACGATCTGAACTGACCTGAATGATGTCTCAGCCTCCAACAATGGCTTCTTTGGTCTATGAACTTTCTTATCAATTAAAAGACTTGGGAAACTGATGTTAAAAAAAAAAATATGTAAGCTGCTCAGCATACAGAAGAAGAAGAAGAATGCTGCTCAGCTGAAGAATGGAAGTGAAAATCGTTCTGGAGAAAGGTCACAGTACTACCTTCTGTCAACCATAACTAGGAATAGTGAAAAGGGGTTGACAGTCTGGTAGGTCAGGTCAGACATGGTCAATGAGTAAGATTATCCTTTAAAAAGAAATTTTACATACACATATATTACATAAAATCAATGCTGCCAATATATATAACTTTCTGTCATTTTTTTCTGATATACACTTTTGGCCCACTTTCCCTGGTCCTTAACTCTCCCTTTTAAATATCTCTAGTAAAGAGAAAGGAAAAGGCTTCATCTTACATCGCCTTTGTTCTCTAGATTTGTGACACTCTCAAGAGGGAAAATAACAACCAAATCCTTGATACTAGCCAGTTATTTTGAAAGCAAACTTAGAAAATAAAAATATTTCTATATAAAATACAGGAATGTTTTTGGAAGACAAAGGTGCAAATGAAAATAAATGCAACAATGCAAACAAATCAAGCATCTTCTTTAACCATTTAAAACCACCAAACTTAAAAAAAAGTTGCTATATGCTACTGATTTACTGTGGACATTTTCTTGACCTAATTCATCAGAAATTTTGTTGCTTCATATGCTTTATGTCTCAGGCTGCACTCCTCCTCAGAGAGAACCTTTGCTGGTAAAGTATTTTAGTTTTTACAGCAATCTCCTTAGGTTCCTTGAGGAGTGCAGATTCAAATGTACTTTCAAAAATATATATACTTTCCCCTCATTTGCTGATGCTTTAGCAGAAGTGCCAAAACCTTCCTGTTTGGTAATATAAATATTACTTTGGTGAAGAAGTACTTAACTGACCTACAAACAATGACTTGTCCCATTGAGAGACAAAAATTCCCCATCTCCCTGTCCTGATGACTTGTTTTGCAGTACCATAATGATGCATCTTTTCCCACTGAGCCTGTTAATATGAAACTTAACACACTGACAAGCATATGCTGCAAACATCTAAACAGAATTAAGACTTGTGACTTGTTTCTAACTTCAGTGGACAGACGTATTGTTAATCGAGCACTCTTAAACAGTGAAATGTTTGGGGATGATTGATCCCCAAACCTTTTTTCTTGGGATATCACACATAAGGAAAAGGCAAAAAAGGAAAGGAGATAACAAATGTGATACATTTCAGAGATCTAAAATATGACAAACAGTTCCAAAATACAGCAAAAGATTCTTTGTCTTAACTATTGTCAGCACATATGTCATTCTAGAACTGAATTCAAAAAGACCTGGGCCAATGAAGAAAACTGAGACAAGGGGAGCATGCTGAAAATATTCTTGCTTCCTGTGTTTTAAATGAAATCTTGCTTCCATTGGGAACGTGGGCACTGACCATAGCAGAAACTAGGATTTTGCCCTTATTTGGGCAATAATACACAAATAAAATGTAACTGCAGTAATGAATCATTACATACTTGTTTCTTCAAAACCCATAGTGTACTGAACCACTAATAATGCTGCATTTTCTTCAGATTCCTTTTCCTCTTAAAACATGACAGCAGATTCTACATATTGTTTTTGCTTGCACAGCTTTAAATGCTGTGGCTTGCTAAAATGTCTAAAGGCATATATTTGAATATTGAAGTAATATGACATTAAACTGCTTTGAAAACAGGTCACAGTTTTTCATACAGAGGAACAGATACTAAAAAGTTCTTTAAAATATTAATGACTAAAGTTTATTATTGCAAAGCTGAGCTGATAATGATACATTTGTGTCATAGTTTGTTAGGTTTGAAGTCATATAACTCCCTGTTGACTGCATCCTACCAGTATCTAGCTGGTAGACTGTTTAATATGCAGTATCCTGGTAACTAATTGGTATAGTGGTATACTCGTGAAAGAACACTCATGAGTGTGAATTAAATTAGTAAGATAAAAAATAATCCAGCAGCTCCAAAACTTCTGGAAAAGTATGATCAAGTGTAATATAATCCTTGGGTAATCTGTAAATTCTCAATGCTTACAGATTTAAAATGTTGCTCTGCAGAGTTATTAGTGATCATGGTATCTATAGCACAGTTCTTACAAAAAAAGGGCCCTGCATGTCAGATCTCACTGTCTATAAGCAACAGATGCAAACAGTCTTGACTATTTGCTTGAGGCATTTGTAAATCTAATTATCCTATTTGACTGTTAAATAATTTTTAATGTAATTTCTGTTTAAGAATGATAAAACATATACGCCCACATAACTTTCTTATTACTAAGTCAGTTTGACATTAATCATACCTGTTCTACCAAGCCCCTTAAGCTCTTTGTAGGGTTCAGATCTATTCAGGACTCATTTTTACAATGCTCTGAAGTCCATAAACAAACGTTGTTTGTTTTCCTGTAGCCACACTAAGCCCTTTATCTATGCTGTTCTCAGCACCACCTTAGCCATGATTTTAGCACAACAAATCCATTCTGCTCCCTCTTCTATGTACACAGAACACATAAACTGAAAATCTCTTTGTTCTCAAACTGAGTAAGGTGGCATTTAAATCCTCCTGGTATGGAATATAGCTTCTTGTTCAATCCACTGTACGTGACAAGTAACTGAAATGGATTTAAAAAAACCCTTTCTTTCAATTCCTACAATTATCTGTACATCTGATTATATTTTTAACACATAGCAATTCTCCTGAATCTAATAATGTCATCCTTAAGATGCCTGTGTAAGATCTACTGTAGATTTCTTTACTTAAACAAAATATGTCAGCACAGAAAAAGACAAAAGCACAGATTTTAATTTAAAGCATTTGAAAACCTCCTCTCTAGGATATTTAGTAAAGAAGCACTTTAAAACTGACCTTTGTCGACTCTGATGGATGAATCATTTTGAAAGACGTCATTGCATAGTATGATTGAGCCGACAAAATAAAATTAACATATCACAGAATCACAGACTGTTTGAGCATGGAAGTGATTCTGGAGGTCATCTCATCCAACCGCCTTGCTCAAGCAGGGCCACCTAGAGCCAGTTGCTCAGTACAGCAACTAGATGGTTACTAGTTGTTACTAACTTGAAAAAGAGCCTGTTTATTTTTGTATGTAGAGCTATATATTTTTTGAGTGTCTATAGGACTACACGGGTGTTTAGTAATATTTTCTGACAGACTTGATACACAGTCTGATGGTCTAGTGCCTAGGGAAAAGAGCTTCCACCATTCATTAGTAATAGAGATAAAATTACAGGTGAAATGTCAATGTTTCAAGACACAAACCTGCAGCTGGAAGGTAAATGGTAATGTTTCAGATAATTTCTCCTCCCCAGTGATTTCTACCAAAACTGTGAGTATCTGTGTGCTGAATGTTCATTGGGTAAAGGCATGCTGCAGACAGGGGTTTGTTCACACAGATCTCATTTGTGCTGTGGTGCAAGACGTACTCGGCTTTGTTTTCTCTTTCCTGTGGAGCACAAATACAACACTCCCACCAAGCAATACTCCTGAAAGCACGAATTCAGACCTCAGACTTTTTCAGCTTCTGCAGGTAGTCTCCTCCGACATAACCTAAAGTTATTCTCCCACACTATTCAAAGATTACAAAAAGAGTGAGGGAGGTAAATTACAGCTAGAAAATTTGAACTTGGAAGTGAATCTTCCTTGTACTGTGTCAGCTCTTGCAGGCACAGAGAAATGCACATTTTATTACCTCTCCCAGCAGGAGCTGTAGTGAGTCAGATGCAGCAGGTATTATTGTTATGATGATGGGCCTCATCCCCACGCATTCAGCTGGGAGACAAAGCAGCTGGTTTAAGATTACTGGAGCACAGGAAGGGGTACAGCCTTACAGGTACTTTAGGAGCTAGCTTCTTACCAAAAATGGCTCCATATGGACTCATAACAAAGCAGCAAGTTATTTAGGGCTTGGCTATTTAAGTCAATGCAAAGCTGTAGAAGGCCCAGGGAAACCAGTGCACTTAGCAGCCGGTTTTGTAAAGGTGTCTAGAAGCAGTATTTTGTTTACAACTGGAATGATGCAGCATCTTTTCTGATTAATTCCCTAAGACAGAATTTAATTAAACAATTTTATTCCATTAAATTCTGTAAGAGGTATTTAATGATGCATCCCCTGATGAAATATGTAATTCTAAGTACAACTGTACCTACAATAATGATGCTCAATTTTAGGACAAGCTGATCTGAACACCAGAAAGGCAGAGATATAAGGCAGAGGTTATTTCACAGCAATGAATATGTGCTCAGAAACCCCCATAAACACAGTTCAAGACAAAGTACACTGCAATTCAGACCTGTGACACAGCAAGCCAAGATACAGTTTTCTGAAAGATGTAAGTGGGGAAGTAACCTTTTTCAAAAATGTCAGGGGTTTCTTAGCATGAGATTATACATGTAAGCTATTTCCACAATCATACCTGCAGTATGATAAAAAGACATAAAATGCTTCCTTCAAGAAGTCATAACCTAAGTAAGTGACTTTGGTAAATTATAGGTAAGCAGGTAAAAAGGGTAAAATGAAGAAAAAACCTGCAAAAAGACCAAT